GCTGGACTCCCATAGGGCCAACTGTAGTTTGAGTCCCAAACCTGAAGGCTTGCTTTCTCATTTTCCCTCTCTCTGATTTTTTTTTTCTAAGAGAGAGATTTTTGCCAGAGAGACAGAAAGTGAGAAATCGCCCACCAGATGGGATAGCCACGTAGCAATCCCTTCTCCTCCATTCTCTTCTCAGGATGTTGGGCACGTATGCACACACACCCAGTGTGATTTTTAAGCCCCCCCCCCCCTGTCCAGGAGTCAAACTGTAGTCGACTACGTGGGAGTCAGTGACATAACAATTATGCCATCTGTTAGTCCCACTCTGGTGGTGTGATAGATAAGGCGAATTCACCAGTCCCATCAGGTGGTGTGGTAGATAAGGCGCTGGACTCCCACATGGCTGACCACAGTTCAAGTCCCACACCTGGCCGCTTGCTTTCTCGCTTTCTCTCTCTCTCTCTCATTTCTTTGGTGAACACATATTCTCTTGAACAAATTAAAATAAAAATAAAATTAAAATAATTTTTTTAAAAAAATTACTTATTTGTTATTAATTTTTTCCAGATGTTTTTGCCTTAGGGCACATGTGCTCACTGGAGAGAAAGAAGGACAGACAGTGAGAGGAAAAGTGAGAAATCACCCCACAGAGGGGATGACCACACCACAATCCCTTCTTCTCTCGGGATCTTTGGCATACATGGACATGCACCCAGTGTGAGTTTAAGCTACCAGTTCCTGGACTCAAACCTCGGTCGACTACATGGGAATCCAGTAACATAGCCATTACACCCACTGCTGGTCCCTGTTAATTTTTAAAAATTCACCAGAAAGCAAGCGGCCAGGTGTGGGACTTGAACTGTGGTCAGCCATGTGGGAGTCCAGCACCTTATCTACCACACCACCTGATGGCCTAAAAATAAATAATTCGTAAAAACAATGTATACAGGCACATGCAAATGCAGTTTTACATGCATTTACTCCCATGTTCAAATGCCAGGGGATTCTCATGCTCCTGGAGCCCTCTAGAGTGACCACGTTATGAACTCTTGTGATACACAATCGGAGAGGACAGTATTAGTGCTTTGGCCTCTACGCTGCCAGCCCAGACCGGATGACACACTGTACTCACGTCATCTGAGTGAGAATCTTCTTCCTCTTCGTCACCCTCTTCCTCAGGTTCTCCACAGGGGTTGGCGGGTACATCTGCCAGGCAGGTTCCCTGGGGTATCTCTTCCCCCTCAGCTGTGTACACAAGCTCTTCCTGTTCCACAGTCTCTGAGTCCTCGTACCTGAAGGGCACATTGCCGTAGCGCCGGGAGGAACCTGTCTTGGGGAACTGGAGCTGAAGCTGGGTGATGATCCGAGGTGGGAGACGGCAAGCCCGGATCAACTCCAGAAAGACCCGCAGGGGAGTCCCCACATTCCCTTGGGGCATCAGCACTGGTGGGTTCAGCTCTGGCAGTTGCTTCAGGTCAGCTAGGGTGAAGGCTTCATTCTCAGCCTTCCTACTCTGCAGCTCCTTCCGGGACTTAAAAGGAAAGGAAATCAAACCTTGGGAAGGAGGGAGAAGAATGGATCATGAAACTCAGAAGCCTTCAGCAACTCGAGCCAGAAATCAGACAAAGTGTAAATTCACTAGCATAACGCTGTCCCTCCCTTCCAAATGTCTCTAGTGTCCCTTCCTCCCTTCCCAACCAAAACCACTGAGCAATTTCATGCCATTTCTCATCACCTTGACCGGGCACACAAGTAAGAAAGTTGTCAGAATCAAAATGGAGTCACTTATGTCAAACCCTAACAGAATGGGGCTGGGAGACCATGAAGGAAAGTGGGTGGGTGGGGTCCCATTAAAAGAGGACCTTTAAAAAGAGGTCTCTCACATGCAATTGCCTAAAAACAGGAACTAGTGCAAGAGACTGCTAAGCTGCAATCTTCTTGCCCAAGGCCACTTTAAAAAAAAGATATCTGCTTAATTATTGCCTGTTCAAACTTGGACCAAGGCCACCCTTCTTATTAATCTTTGCAGCCAAGGATAATTGTTTCAGAATAACTTACATAACCTTTCTCACTTTGTCTTTAAAAAGGTCCTCCCTTGGGGCCAGCGCATGGTATGGTGGTTAAGGCACAGGACTCTCACATGGTCAACCATGGTTCAAGTTCCAGACTTGGTGGCTTGAAAATCATGCCAGGCATGTATGTGTGTATGCATACCTAAAATCCTGAGAGGAGAATGAAGGAGAAAGGATTGCAGCGTGGCCACGCCCCTCCCCCCCCCCCCCCCCCCCGCTGAGGGGCTGGGGGTGATTTATCACTTTCCCTCTCTATGACATACCCTATAGCAAAACTGAAAAAGAAAAGTTCCTCCCTCAGGCCTGATGGCACGGCAGTAAAACACAATGCTTTGTGAAGCTGACCCCCACGGGAAGAATGCTGGTTCACATCTGGAGAGTTCCCTGAGTACTCCAGGCACGTGTTACCAGGATTTGGCATGGCTGAAGTTAGGGAATGAACTGTGGTGTCAAGACCTGTCAGGGGCATTGTTAGCTCTCCCCTTCATCTCTCTTCTAGAATAAATAAATAACCTAAAACAAACGGAAACACTTCACTTATCCTACCCTCCTTAGATTTGCCTATGTTCCATCACAGAATCCATATCCTGGTTTGCAATCCCGTCATTCATACATAAACTCTACTTTTTCCCCCAAAGTCTCTCCCTCTGTCATTACTTTACGTTGACAAAGTTTCTCCAGATCTGGCTCCTGCTGACCTTTGGATTCTCAACTGCCACCAACTCCCGGCCCCCGTACACCCTCATTCCCTATACCCCATGCCTCAAAGTTTCATAGAGTCCACATCTCTGTGTCTTTATAGATGCATTTACCTTGAACTTTTTTTTTTTTTTGGAGAATTTTTTGCTATAGGCCACATGCCCTCACTGGAAAGACAGAGAGAGACAGAAAGTGAGAAATCACCCCCTGGGGGATGGCCATGCCACAATCCCTTCTCTTCCATTCTTCTCTTGGGATCTCGGGCACATACGCACGCACACACATGCACACACACACACACACACACACACACGAGTGTGAGTTTAGACCACCGGATCCAAGACTTGAACCGCAGTAGACTTCATGGGAGTCCAGCGACATAGCCATTATGCCAACTGCTGGCCCCAACAATTTTTTTAAAAATTTTAATTAAAAAAAAAAAAGAAATGAAAATGAAAAGCTTAGAGTAGTGCCTACTAAGCACATAGAGTACGCTCAGTAAATGTTAACAATTAAAATGATGGCTCTGTGGCAACTCTTTCCAAATCTGTCTACCTCTGTGGATTCTGAGCACATACTGTATACAGCTGTTCTCTGCACACCCAACTACAGCCGCACTGGGTCTAGCAATATAAGCGCTGCCTGAATGGGAAGGCTCTGCTGTCTCCTATTTCAAAATAATTTCCCATGAAAGTGAGAGCTGTCCAGAGAAAAGACGGTCTCTTCGTTTGCATTTTGCCAGGACTGGGTGGGAAGCACAGAGAGTGCAAGAGAGAAAGACACTACGAGGGTTAGAAACCTATTTTTTTCTTCCTTCTGGGTCTGTGCAAAAACCAGACCTTTAGAGGACCAGCAGATGGCCTGGAGGTTAAGGCAACTGGATCCCAGATGGCCAACTGTGCCTTTTAAATCCCTGACCCGGCAGCTTGAGAATCATGTAGGGCCTGTGTCCAAGTGTGCCCGAGATCCTCAAAGGAGATGAAGGAAAAGAAAGGGTGATATGGCTATCCCCCTAGAAGGGTGGTTTCTCTTTCCCCTCCCTCTCTCTTCTCTGGCAAGAGCACTCGCCCTATAACAAAAACAAAACGCCCCAAACATTCAGATAGTGAAATGGGTCACAGAAGGGAGTTAATAAATTGGAAATTGTAAGATATCCAAATAGACCTTTCTCCTTTGTTCCTCCCTATGTTAAAATGGAAGAGAGGCTCTCAAAACAAAAGTGGGGGTGGTTATGTGGGAACATAGGGGACTGCAATCCAGGAAATGCATACCATGAACACAGGCATATCCAAGGAGACTGGGATACAGCAACACTGTCAAAGGGAGGGCTCAGCAGGTGGCTTGGCAGTTAAAGGCACCAGACTCCCACATGGCAAACCAGGGTTTGAGTCCTATATCTGGCAGCTCGCTTTCTCACTTTCTCTCTGGTGAGCACACGTGCCCTACAGTAAATTAATAATGAGGAGGAGGAGGATAAATTAAAAAACTCAAAAACCTATTAAAGGAAAAAGAAAGGTTACATAGGTTGTGTTGGAACAATTTTTATCTACAAGGATCAATAACGGTGGCCTCAGTCCGAGGTTTTACAGGGAGATGCTGGACAGACACCCTTTTTTTTTTTTCAGTGTTCTGCAGTAATGCGAAGGTTCTGCTGAGCCCCTTCCAGTCGTTCCTGTTATCAGAGCCTGAAGCTCTGAAACTCTGTCCAATAATGGCCCCAATTGGTAGTCATAACCAGAAGCCTGACTTATCCTCATCATCCTTCAGGAAAGATGCCTCTGTCCCAGGGCCCGGAGGCTCGGTCTATTACGCTTCCCTCTCATACCTGATGCCTGGGTAGGCAGCCGAAGTCTGCGGATGAGGCAGCGACCCGGCAGCCAGGTTCCCTGAGAATCCAGCCACCGGCGGCCGGAATACAGGCGAAGAAGCTTCTGGGCTTGGGCCAAGCCCCGCACTGAGATGACACAGCAGCAGGTGCGGGTCTGGGCTCCAGCAGAGCCGCGAGTGGAGAAAGCGCGGGCACAGGCGGCCGACCTCTGGGCGAGAAGCGGGTCCTCGGGGGCAGGCTCCGCGGTGCTGGGGCGGGTGGGGGCGCGCCGGGCGGAGGGGTCCGCTAAGGCCGATGCCGATAGTGGAAACAGAGGAAGCCGCCGTCACGCTGTTCTCGAAACTGGCTGAAGTAGCTTCGTAACTGGGCCGAGCGCAACTCGGCGGGGATACCGCTCACCACCAGGTAAACTACCGCCTCCGTCTCCGCCTCGCTGGGGACAGCCATCTTGGCTCGTCACATGACCTGCTGGAACTAACTCTCGCGAGAACACCGTGACGCCCGGGCCCGCGGCGGCCGCGTGCTCTCCTGGAACCTGCTTAGTCCCGCCGGGCTTGCGTGGAAGAGCTCTCCAGGGGGAGGGGGATAAATAAATCTTGCAGGCGGGGGCCCCGCGGGGGGCGTGGTGGCTAAGGCGCTGGACACGCCCACATGGCTGACGACGGTTCAAGTCCTGGACCTGGTGGCTTGCGTTCTCTGGTTAAATTAGAATAAATGAATGAGTAAATAAAAATAAAATAAATTTCAAAAAATAAATAAGTCTGCGAGCGGAGACATTTAAGATAGAGTGTTTACTTACGCATCCCCCGAACCTAATCTCAGCCTCCCTCTATTCAGAACCTTTTCAGTTGTTTATCCTCTCTCAAAACATGTTAACTTCATAGAAAATGGGCCAGAGGTACTTGACAGAAGAAGAAATACGAATGTGCGGTTGACAGTGAGAGATGCTCAGGCTCATGAGTACCGAGACCCGCTTACATCCACCACGTGGGTAAATTCTTTTTCTTTTTCCTAAGAAGGATTTTTGCTATAGGGTTCCTGCACATGGACGGAGAGAGAGAAAGTGAGAAATCGCATCTCCCCCTCAGGGAGGATGGCTAGTTTGCAATCCCTTCTCCATTCTCTCAGGATTTTGGGCACAGAGGCACATGCGCCTGGTGTGAGTTTCAAGCCGCAGGGGCTGGATTCTTACTGTGGTCAACCATGTGGGAGTCCAGGCCCTTAACCGCTATGCCACCCGCTGACCCCCATGTACGTAAATTCTTTAAATTTTTAAAAATTATTTTTCCAGTTTGCTGTACGGTGCTGGCTGGTAGGAGAGTGGGGAGGGAAAGTGAGAAAGGACCCCCCCCCCGCCACCACCAGGGTGGGTCTGTTAACCCCTTCTCCATTCTCTCTAGATTGTGCGCATGCTTGCACGTGCACCTGGCATGATCCTCAAGCTGCCAGGTCCAAGGCTCGAACTGCAGTTGACCATGAATCCAGGACCCCAGCCTCCCTATCTTTTGACCAAGCAATTCCATTTCTGGGTACATATTTTAAAGAAATTCTTGCCTCACCACAGCAGTCGTGGTGCACAGGTAGTGCCAGTGTGTGGGAGGCTGGATGCCATGGGGAATCGCAGGTTTGGCTGAGGGCCACGCTGGGCACCATTGTGCCACCTTGTGATCCTAGCTAAGGGGGAGGCTGGGGCTGGAGGATCATGATGTGGCAAAGCTGTCAAAAATACTTATCTTTTCCATCTCTCTCTCCTACAAGGAAAAAAGAAAAGAAAAAGAAAGGTTTGCCCATGTTTATCAAGAGATGTTGGCAATGTTGTACTTTGCTGGAGCGCCATAATTCTAGAAAACAGTGAAAGCTAAGAAACGCCCCATCCTTTCTGTTTTGGAGCAGGTAACTAACTGCAAAGAAGTACCTTTCCCCATATGACTTAGTTAAGACTCATGGAGGAGTTCCTTGTTTACCTATGACAAAGTCAGATACAGACTCCAAATTGCAATTTAAATTCCTCATTGAAGTTCAGATGAACGTCCTGTACCCACTGATCGATTAGAACAAACCTTGGTTAAGCTTCTCTCCTCCCAGATCCCTGAAACTTTGGCTCATCCACAACCTGCCTGAGAACAGGCTGGCTTCGGGATCAACTTTTTTGACCTGCTGGCCCATCATGCCATTCCTGGTCATCTCACTTCTTCACACCCAGTTTTCTCCACCCTTGTTTACTGAAGAGTATAGTGTTTAGAGCGCAGGGAAGCCTGTGGAAGAAAGCCCTTTTTGCCTTGAGACACGAAGCTCTTATGGTCATAGTGTTCTCCCACTGCATTAGTCCTCACTGCTGTTATAATATATTCTTTCTGCTCTTGCAATAATCCTTCTTTTTAATCGCCTGAGGGAATGTACACTCACCAGAGAGAGACAGGCAGACAGACAGACAGGGAGAGGGAGAGGGAGAAAGATCCCTCAATGGGACATGGTCACACCGTAGTCCTTTCTCCTTTTCTCCATCCTGCCAGGATTTTGGATACACCCACATATTCCCAGTGGGTTTTTTTTTTTTTTTTTTTTTTTTGGGGGGTTTTTTTTCCTTAAGGGGGGGGGG